CCGGTAGTGGCTCCAGACAGGAGGACCCGCTGCACAAGGTCCCCAGAGCTGAGGCGCTGTGTGACAGACACCATCATCCTGCAGGCCACAAGGGTCATTGGGCCACTCTGTCCCATGCATTCTGCACCCTCCTCTCCAAGTCTTCAGCTGGCCCCTGCCAGTCCTCACGGGTTTGGGAGAAACCTGATTTCCCTGGCCTGGTGCACGGGGATGCGTCCCAAGAAAAATTAGTTCCCACTTCAGCTTTTGTGAAAGGCACTGGCCAACTCACGAATTCATCCTCCAGAAAGCCTCTTAACACCTAAGGGGACAAAAGCAGTGGTCCCTATTTAGATGCATAATGTTAACTGTAACTGGCAAGAGGGTGACAGAGGTCACCTTTGCTGTGCTCCCCATGCCTCTCTTCCTGTTTTTCAGGATGGCAATAATGGGCCAGCCTGACCTCAGGGGAAGGAACTATAAACTGGGAGTCAGGAGATCTAGCATCTCCCTGTGTGACCTTCCCAAGACCTTTCCTTCCCCTTGCTAGGGCTCAGTGCCCCCATCTGTGACAAGAAATTAGATGACATCTGTGTGTTCCCAAATCATGGTACAAATCCCTGCCAGTGATGTTCAGCAAACATGGTGAAGTTGAATAATTTTGTGTTTAAATATTTTTACATGATGGGGAAAAATAGCACAACAAACTCATGAATCGTGGGTGTTGTTACACAGAGTGGCTCTAACTTTTAAGCATATTGATATAATTGATATAAAGTAAAATACTTAGTATCAGTAGAATGCAGATATGGTGGAGTTTTCCAGAGAAGTTGTCTGGTGGCTAAGGTTTGGGAACAGTGAATGGGCGTAAGGGTCGCTTTTAGAGCAGTCCCACTTGCCCTTGATGGCTGCTGAACCTTGTTTTGATAGCATACTGTGGTCACTTGGTGTGAGTCAATGATCTGGAATGCTTTCCCCAGGTCACTACCATCATCTTATGGAAAACCAGTCCTCTTTATTATAATGCACTTTACAACCCAGTTTCTTGGGGCAGGTTGTGCTGAGAAACAGGTCTATCTGTATGGGCAATGATGCCGTAAGGATTGTGCATTAATCACATTTTTACTGCTGTAAACCTGAAGTTGTCTTCATTTATTTAAAAAAAAAAGGCCAAGAAGTGACTCCGTGGCTCTCGATGGGCAGGCTCCATCTCAACCATGGGCTGTGTCCATGGCGTAGGAGCCTCTAGGGTCTTCTAGCCAGGGGGTATTTGAGCTGCTGGGGGCTGCCACCCAGACTCCAGGCGAGTCAGAACAAAGCCTCGCAGCCCTCAGAGAGATCCAGCTTTTGGATGGTGCATGCTGAAGCAATGTGTACAAAAGGATTCCCAGGGACCAGTGAGAGGGGAGACAGGACAACTGGATGTACCAGGGTAGTCCACCCTGAGAAGCCTAAGACCAGGCTGTCCCTGCCTCAGCTCCTTACAGGGACAGGCTGCCCCACCGTAGGCCAGACTCCAAGCCATGAGTCCTCTAGTGGCCACTGAGGATATGGCCATGTGGCCATGTCCATGCATGTCCAGAGGCAAGAGACAGATACCTACGAGTTGACAGAACTGGCAGGGAAACAAAAGGATAATATGTAGAAATAGAGGCAGAAACAAGGAAACAGAATGGAAGTCACAGACATACACACGAGGCTTGCATGTTTCAGGCACTCTTTTTTTTTTAAGATTTTTTTATTGGGGAATTGGAGGAGGGCAACGGTGTTGGGGAATTAGGGAAGGGAAACTGCCAAATTGTTGTCCTTCAGTCTTTGTTGTGGAGGGCGCAGCAAGCTCAGCTCCAAGTCCAGTTGCGCCGCTTAGTTCAAGGTGCTGTGTTCAATTAGTTGCAGGTGGGCGTAGCCACCATCCCATGTGGGAGTTGAACTGGCAGCCTTGTTATTAAGAGTGCATGCTCTATCCCCTGAGCGGCAGCTCAGCTCAAGGTGCCGAGTTCAGTCTTTTTTAGTTGTGGGCGGGAGTAGCCCACCATCTCAAACAGCCAACCTTGTTGTTAGGAGCTCAGGCTCTCACCAGCTGAGCCATCCTGCCACCTGTTGGCAGCTCAGCTCAGGCGCAGCTCACTGGCCCATGTGGGAATCGAACCGGCGACCCTGTTGCTCAGAGCTCGCATTCTTGAGCAAGCTCTTAACCAACTGAGCCACTTGGCCAGCCCCTCAGGCACTCTTTTAAGAGCTGTGTACCTATGAACTGAACAAGCTTATAAGGTGAGCAGTGTTATTTGCACAACATTGAGGACACCCAGGCAGAGGGAAAGTAATTTGCGTAAGTCACCTTACTAGGTAGTAGAAGAGCTGGGGTTCCAACCTGGCACTCTAGGTCCATGCTCTTAACCAGTGAGCCAGAGATGAAATAAGGTCGTCCAGCACCGACCAACAGAGACAATTAGAACAAGAAAAGGAGACCCAAGTCAGGTCTTTTTGGTCCCCCTCCCTTGTGCAAATCATTATTCCTAAAGGGGAGGCCGACCTTGCTCCTCAGGCCCCCAGACAGGCTCACCAGGGCAGACTGCAGCCTGCTGCTCTGGCCTGCAGCCCAGGCTGCCCGGGACAGGACAGACAGGTCTGGCTGGTGCCGGTGGATGAACTTCTACAGCTTCTGGTGCTCAGTGCTCAAGTCCCCAGGGATTTGGTTGGTGCTCAGCCCCACGCAAGGCCTCCACCAGGGGATTGGTGAATTCATCCTCCGGGCCAGGCCCCAGCTCGGTGCCGGTGAGTGGGAGGGAATGTACCCTCACCCATCTAAGCGGACAGCCTGTCTCAGAAGACTGCTCTGCTGCTGTCCCGCTACCACCCCAGGAGACGACTGGGGAGAGATGGGTTCATCCAAAGGCAATGCTGCTCCACGTGCCCGTCTCCAGGCTGACTGGCCTGCATGGAAGGAGGCCCAGTGCGTTACGCCCCCAACTCCTATCTCCAACGCCAGCTTGGTGTCCACACTGCTCTGCAAGGCCTATCTCCCCCTCCCTCCTCAGGGCGTATGTGTGCTCCCAGGCGTCCCACAAATGCAGACCATACCGTTAAAAATAGAGCCTCTTTATTGGTACCTGTAAGTCCAGGTACAAGGTGTTCCCACAAGCACACAGGCTGGCAAGGCCTCCTGGGCAAGAGGGCAGGCCCACAGCCCGGGCTTCTTGGCACAGACACAAAGAAAAACGAATAAATTATCATTCTAATACTAAGGGACAATATAGAAATTATAATACAAAATTCAATATCAGCAAATGATGGGCATAAAAGCCCTAAGGAGCCACCCCTTGCCCTGGCCAACTGGCCTTGGGGGCACAGACAGGTGGGCTGGGCTGGAGTGCAGTGCCCAGAAAGCCCTGAGTCGTCAGGGGCATGCTGTGGGCCCCAAGGCAAGCCCTTTGCCCTCTCTGGGCCTCCCACTTCCCCCACTACATTGATGGGCTAAGAAGAAAGGCTGTGGCCTTTGTGGGAGGGGAGAGATGGGGCAGAGGACAGGAAGTAGAGGGGGCTGAGCCGGGTAGAAGAGGGTTTTGGTCGCGATTGGTCAGCCCAGCCCCTCCCCTGCCCAGACACTGTCCCGGGTCAGCCCCTGCCTGCTCAGCCATCCGGAGCCAGGCAGCTGCCACAGTAGACGTAGGGCTCGAATCCACACCTGGTCTACGCCTAAGACCATGTAGGGCAGGGCTGTAGGACTACAGGGCAAAAGGGACTCATGGGGTCTGTACCCCACTGACCCCAGCATTGCCCACCAGCTACGGAGAAGCCTAAGCTGCCTAGTCTCCAAATAAATTATGGAAATAAATTATAGTCTTCACAGTCCAGAGGAATCAGCCACCCAGGGGGCCACGACTCAGGGTGGCAGAAGCCGGAAGTGGCTGATTCCAGCCCTGTCTCACTGTCTTTGGGCTAAGAAGTATCATACAAGACCAAAAAGGGATCCACAAAGCTCCAGGGGAGCCCCATGTAGTCCTCCTCTTGGCATGCGCCATGGAAGTGGAAGAGACCGTGTGGGCATGGGGTCGGGGGTGCTGAAGGGGGAAGTCCCCTCGCCCCCTCTCTTCAGCACAGAAAGTTAAAAAAATAAATAAATCCAGAGTGTTGCATGAGAATTAGGAGTGTCCACATGGGTGAGTCAACCAATGGGAGATGGTTACATCCAGTCCCCGGGGAGCCCCCAAATTATAACACAGCAGCAACAGGGCTCTTGGGGCTGGGGAAAGGCACCCTAGTCCTCACACAGGCACAGGTTCCACCAGAGACGCTGGGGCAGTGTCCTCAAACAACTGGCTGTCCATGAAGGGAGCCAGGCCCTCAGCAGGTGGCTCGGACAAGCCCATGATAGACTCTAGGAAGCAAACATTGGCGTCCCAAGGCGGGGAAAAGGCAGGAAAGGGAAAGTGGGGTGCCTCAAGGTTGTCCAGGCTGTCAGACACCTTCCGAGAGGTGTAATGAGGCCCTAGACTGTAGTCTGGCAGGGCTTGGAGCAGCTCAAAGGAGTCGCAGGAAGACAAGCTGAGGTCCACTGAGCTGCTCTGGCCAGCGTCCACGCTGGGCGGCACGGAGGTGCCAGGGAGGCTGCCTTCTCCCAACCCTTCAAGGCCACCGTTTAGGAAGCAGCTGGCATCCAGGTTGGCATTTTCATCCAGGATGCCTGATGTGAGGCTAGAGTTAGAATAACTGTGGGTCCAGCTAGCCAGGCCACCAGGGTCACCAGTACCGAAGATATCAGCTAGGTAGAAGCAGTTGAGGTTGTCGAGGTTCCCCACACCCCCATCCTCCTCTTCCTCCTCCTCTCCACCCAGGTCAGAGTCACTGAAACTTAGGATCCGCTCGAGGCTATCATCATTCACAGCAGGCTGGAAGCCAGGGCCAGGCAGGGCCGGGTGGGCAGGGCTGTCAGGGGCCTCGCTAGCACCCGATGCTGTGGAGCAATCAGTCATGTCGCTGCTGCAGCTGTGGTCTCCCAGGTCGCTGCTCAGAGAGGGGTCGGCCAGTGGGAAAGTAGGGGCCAGGACCTGCTCACCAGGGCTGGATGGGCCACCCTGGACAGGGGCCTCTAGCTCCCCAAGGCTCTCAGCCCCTTGCTCCAGCTGCAGACGGGTGAGCGTGTGGATGAAATGGGTCCGAACCCGTTCCTGATTGAATTCCACACGGCCCTTGGGGTTCTCACAGCCCTCCTTGCAGCAGCCACAGGGGAACGCCGTGTGGTCCTTCTGCAGAGAAAGCAGAGGCATGAGTGAGGATCCTTTGGCACCCAGAGAAGCCGCCCAGCTTAGGCTCCCCTTCCCTGCCCAGTCCGGCCACCGTACCTGGCACTTGATGCCTGCCAGGCTGCAGCTGCAGGTCTCAGGGTCACAGACCCCATCGCAGCGACAGCCACAATCCTCCCGGAACTGGCGCAGAGCCTGCAGCTCCCGCTTCTCCTCCCGATCAATCCTCCGCACACCGGCAGCCCGGAGCAGGGCCCGCCGCTTCCGGGCTGGGTAGGGCTGGAGGAAGGTCATTTCCTCCAACCGGCCACTGGTCACAGCCGCTGCCAACTCTTCTTCTACGGAGGCATCATCAATAGTGTCTACTGTCAGTGGCAGGCCAGCCTCCGTCTCAGGTACCCCAGACTCTGCAAGCTGCATCCACGAGAGAAGGAGGGACGTAAGCGGCACAGACATGTGGTCATAGTCCCCACTGCCATCAGTCCCTAGACAAGCCCTCCCCATGAGCTTACTCTGGGCTGAGCGCTACCCTAGTGACTGGGACAGCCAAGAACACTGCCCTCAAGACATTTGCAAAGAGATTTCCTGCTCATGCCATTCCCCAGTTCATGGGCAAACGCCCTCCCCAGCCAGATACCCCAACCCCCAATGTCCACCCATTCTCCATTTCCCTCCCCAGTGAGGTCAGACAGCTTCAGGCACCATGCCCCCAACTCCTGCAGCAAACCTGATCCTTTGCACACCCCACTCTGTCTGCAGATAATCTAAGCAACAGACTCTGACCAAGCAATTACTGGCCCCTTTCCCTAAGTACATAACGAACAACCCAGCACCCACCCATGATGCCCCTCCCCTCAAGGCTAGGACTTCAGGAGCTGCCCTACTGTGTGGGCCTTGGAGCGGAGTCTCCCTCACCTTACATCGCAGCTTCTCCTCCTTCAAGCGGAGGCGGAGCTTCTCACGCCGTGCCCGGGCTCGCTCCTGGGCAAACTCGGCCAAGGAGAAGTGGCGGCTAGCACTGTGGTGAGGGGCCATGCCTAGGGTGCAGCCACCACGGCTGGGCACGCTGGTGAAGCCTTGGCACCGAGAAAAGTAGAAGACGGTGATGCCATCGAAGGCTATGCGGCCTGGGCGCTTCCGGGGAGCCCGCTTCAGGATCGAAAGGGCTGGAAGGCAGACACGGAGAGGGCAGGGCATGAGTTCTCTGTGAAGCACAGCACAACCCCCTGGACGATGAGGCTAAGCTGTCTCTTCTGGTACCTCCTCTGTTCTCCCACCCCAACAAAGAAATGGATCTGAATTTAGGAGCCAGCTCAGCTAGCAGTGAAGATGGTAAAACCGAACACCACCTCTACGCCAACACTGCCTTATTGTTACTTGCCAGTCCAAATGAGAGCACTTGTGAGAGTCAACATCTTCCCCATCTTTATTAGCCATTTACAGGTCCCTTGTACAGTTTTTATAGTTTTTTTTTTTTTTTTATCAATTTGTAGGACCTCTTTATATATTATATTAGAGACGTTAATCATCTGTCTGGCCTGCGAAAATCTTTTAATCTTTTATCTCTGTTCATGGCATTTTACAAAATAATTTCTAAGGTTTATGCAGTCAAAAATATATTGATCTTTTCCTTTATAGCTTGTGTTTTGCAACAGGCTGAGAAGAAAAGCCTTCCTTTTATAAGTTATTGGTTGTATGTATTCAATACATAGACTGGTATATTATTGCTTTTTATTAAGTTGAACCATATGAAATTACCATAAAACAGTTGAATATTGGCAATTCCATATAACTCAACTTTATATATTAATTTTGTTCCCAACTACCTGAGGGAATTCCCTTCAAAAAGGTTTTCTGTTCATATTCTTGAATTCACCAAGTAGCCGGCCAGCCACCTGCAAATAATGGCCATTTTGCCTGGCCCCAGCGCAACACGTAAAACTCTTCCTCTCTTTGGGAACGGACTTGGCTAGCACTTCCTGAACAATGTTAACCAACAACGGTGACAGGCAGCACCCTCATCTTGTTCCTGACTCAATGGGACGGCGTCCAGTATTTCCTCACTAATCAGAATCAGCTTTTGGGTTGAAACCAATTTTTTTTTTTAACCATTTAAGTAGAATTCACTTATTGCCTATCTTACCAAGAGTCTTACCTAGAAGGAACATTACATTTGGTCAAATATTCTTCCAGCATCAAGAGCTCTTATATTTTTCCTCCTCTCACATAGTCATTTGGGAAACTACAAGGTTGGGTTTTATAATAGTAAACCATCCTTGTATTTCCAGGGTAAACCCAAAGGAGTTTAAGTCCATTAATATGCTGTTAGATTCTACGTGCTAAAAATCACACTTTTTATGCAAAATGCACAGATATATATATATATATAATGCACATATAAACTGACATCTTATCTGTGGTATTAAAATATCATGTAGGGATAATTAGGAAAAAATGTCTAAAAAGACTCCTTGGTGTGTGTGTGTGGGGGGGGGGTCAGGAGGAGTGATAATAAAAAGTAAGGTTGAGAAACACCGCTCCAGGGCAATCTTTGTTAGTTTGGAATCAGAATTATACCAGCTTGAAAAAATAACTGGGAAAAAACTTTCCACTACGTTCAGGCAAAGCCCAACAGCATTTTGACAGGAGAGGGACCGGCTTGACAGGCCTCTCAGCGGAGAAGTGTGGGGCGTGGGACTGCAGCAGTGCAGTTGGAAGGACAGGGCGAAAGCTGGAGAAACGAAACTGGAACAAAAGGGAGGGGCCAGGGTGGGAAGGCAGGGGGCCATCTGAAGAGCTCCATCCTGAACAGCATGACTCCGAAGCAGGGGAATCCTAAGGTCAAGGGTGAATCTAGCCAAGTGCCTCTGGACATACCCGAATAACCACTGTATTCCAGGAAGTGGACAAGGTGGGGAGCTAAGGAGGGGAGCTAAAGCCAAGGGAACAATGACCTCCAGAGGCCAGAATGGCTTTGTCACAGGCCTCCTACATTCACCTTCAGGAAGGAAGAAGGGGTTTGGTGGGGTTCCCAGGGGAGTAGGGACTCACGGGTAAAACTTCGGGGGCCACAGATGTCACGGTCAGGCAGTGGCTTCTGATCCCAGGGGTTCTCCTCTTCTGAGTCCCAGGCTGTGGAGACTGAAGAGCTTGGGGAGCAGGAGAGAGAGCAGTGACCCGAGGAAGACAGAGAAGAGGATGAGCAGAGCGAGGAGTCGTCCTCCTCCAGCTGGTCAAACTTCCTCTTCCGCAGCCCGGTCATGGTGGTGCAGGGGTGCTCTGGGGTCTGGGCACAGATAGCCTGGATGGAAAGGAGAAAGCTCTCATTGGTCTCATTGGCAGCCCATGGTCATCATCTCTGCCACTTACATCGGGGGCATCCCAGGCCCCTGCTGCCCCGGGCCCTGCAGGAGGCACATCTCCAGGAGGCTTCTTTGCATAAGACGGAAGGAACACCCAGGCCCAAACCCTCATGCTGGCTCTTGCAGTCTCCCACCCCCTCTGCCTGAAAAAGCCTTCCCAGGACACTGCCAGGCACCTTCCCCACTACCTCCTACAATCCACCTACACACACACACACACCAGACCGACAGATGGACTGACAGACCTCGGCTCATTCCCGGACAGGAATCCTGGGGGCTGACTCACCGGCCGGGTGATTCACATAGCTCGCATCTGTGTGCCTTTGTGTGTGTGAGGCCCTCTGCGACAGGCTGCACAGCCCTCATACAGTGGCTCTGCTTCCTCCTCCTCCTCCTCCTCCTCCCCTCCAAGCACACCCACAGGCACGGGGCCCAGCTGCGGCCTTCGCTCCAGGACCAGGCGAACCAGGACACTCCAGGAAACAGGCTGGCTTGGACACTGGCTCTGATTCCCAGACCCAGGACTTTCCGGAACCCCTCCTCTCCCGTGAAGGAGCTGCCCAGACTTTCCCTCAGAAAGCCCCCGCCCTGCAGAAGTCCCCTGCCTCCAGGCCTCACTGTGGGACCCAGAACCACCTAGGTGTCAGGTCTCTTTCACATCTCCTGTTTGATCTGAAAAACTCACCTACAGCTTGCCTTCTACTCCCAATGTCTAGCCCTGTTTGTTCCAATTAACTTCCTATGGAAATTATTTTTTCCCCTGAAAAAAAAACCTCTAGTGAAACTGACCTGCTAAGACAATGTCCCACTCTCTCCAGTCTGTTGGTGACTTGGAGCAACCCAGGCCACACCACTCGTGCCTGCCCCTTGAGGGTCTCAGCCCTCTCTGGGAGGGCAACCCGACTCCCACAGCCTGGCTGGCCCCATCCAAGTGGAGTGGAGGGGACTTGGGGTTGGTTCCTTCCCCTAAATGCCACAGCAAATAGCAGTCTCTTCCACTGCTTGGGAATCTCCAAAGGACTCAGTCCTCTGGGCTGAGCACAGATACCTTGTCTCTGCTGGTCCTGTGGCACTCTGGGCTGGGCCCCCAGGAGGTCACCAGGAGGAAGGGGAAACGATGCAGAGGCCCCAGTGCTGGGGAGCCCCTCCCCCACTGCCATCACAGGAAATGAGCGAGAACAGGAAAAACCAAGCAGAAGGCTGCTGATCTCCCCTCCTCAGGTGTCCTCCCGAAACACGGCTTTCCCCTTGGCCAAACCTCCCACCAAGTCCCTGGATCCTAGACCCGGAGGGTGTGCTGTCCACTGACTTGATCGGGTAGACTTGTTGGATAGAATTCATTCCAGGGACTGCCTCAAGAGAAGCCAAAGATGTTCCCCCCTCCTTGCAAACTCTCCATGCTGCGGGGAAGGACACACAGGTGTTTCCGGGGGCTGCTCAACGGGTAGGTTCTCAGGCTTGGTACCCCCCTCCCAGGGTTAAACCACAAACAAAAACAACCCAGCTCCCAGCTGACCTGCAGGATCTCCCAGGAGATGGGGGAACTCATGACCCAGAGCCAGGCATACGCACATATACACACATGCAGACCAGAGGCTCAGACACATACACACACGAACAAACCACACCCCGGCATGCTGTCCCCACCACAGTCCCACTAGGAGAACCCATCCTTTCCCAAGCTCCAGATGCTGACTACAGGGTGCCGAATGCCTCCCGAATCCCACACTCCAGCCTCAGACACCTCCCCCCAAACCAAATGACCACTTGGTATTTCTGCCTGGCTGTGCCTTAGAAACATCAAATCCTGCAGGCCCCAAACCGAACCCCTTGTCTCTATTCCCCAACCCCCCACCCGCGCCATCTGTTCCTCTTCCTGTGTTCCCTATCTTAGTAACAGCACTGCCACCCACCCAGTTACTCAAGCCAGAAACCTGCAGTCATCCTCAACTCTTTTCTCCCTCTCCCTCCATCCACAAGCTAGTCGCCCAATCCTGGAAGTACACATTAGCTCATGTAATCTACGTAAGGCCAGGCTCAGGCTCATTAGGTATTACGGAGGCCGCCCAGCATAGACCCTTACGTAGTTCCAGGACCCAACTGCCTGCATTTGAACCCTGGCTTGGCTCTTAATGGGCTGAGTGACCCTGGGAAGCTCCGTCACCGCACTACTCTCAATTCTTTGTCTTCAGACCTCACCGGGTTGGGAGGTTTACATGAATCAATACACGCCAAGTTCTTAAGAACAGTGATAAGTGCTTAGTGAATGTGTCATTCTACACTGTGAAAAAGAAGAATGGGCTCCCGGGTACACACAACACAGATGAACCTCACCGATAGAGCATGTTGGGTAAAAGCAGCCAGACGCAAGCATACAAGTGAATGAAGCTCAAGAAAAAGGCAGATGCAGCTGTGATGGTACAAATCAGAATAGTTGTTGGGGGGCGGGGGAGGGGGATGACGCAGTGCGGACAGCCTTGAGGGAGCCTTCGGCAGGGCGGCGGGGGTCAGAAATGTTTTATCTCGATCTGGAGAGTGATTCATTCCATGGGTGTCTAAAATCATAACAACCATCTAGCTGTTCATGTAAGGTTCGTGTACGTGATGTATTTTCTGTATGTCACGGGTCCTTTTAAAACTTCATTACCCTTATGTCTCTGTCCCTACTGCTACTACCCATGTCCCCTGCCTCTGCTCCGGTCCTCTCCCCGTAGCCTTTCTTTACCCTGCAGCCAGAGTGATCTAAGTGAAGCACCGATCTACCTGCCACCCCTTTGCTCAGAATCACTCCGCATCTCCCCTTGGGGGCGCTCACCCCTAGAATCAAGTCCAGGATTCCACGAGAGGCCGAAGCAGGCCTCTCATTCTGCTTCTCTCCCCACCTCGCCCCACTTACTTTATACTCCAGTTGAACCTGCAATGCCCCTAATGGCCATGACCTGCTCACCTCCTGGCCTTTGCACAGCTGGAACCCAGCCTCACCGCCACCCCTGCCCCTTTAGAAATCATCTCCAAGAGGCCCTCCCTGAAACCCAACTCTGCCTCACTGACTACATGCCTCTATGGGCTCCCATGGGCCCGGGGATCCCCTATCACAGCCCTTACCTCCCCACCCTGCAACGGCCTAACTGGAGGCTGAGGTCCTCTCTGCTTGGCTGTCACTGTGCCCGTGCCTAGAACAGATCTGGCATAGAGTAAGCACCTGAGGACCATCGGAGGTAGGCAGGTGGGCGCTTCATTATCATGTATAAACACAGAAACAAGATTTAAGCATATGAAGTCTCTTGGAGGGGGTGGCCACTGATCAGTGTCATCTGCTCCTGTCACAGTTAAGGGTGGGGGTGGGGTGCGGGGCACATGCCTGCCCATCCCCCAGTCTGAGCAAGAATGGTACCCAGAAGGGGGTGGCTCTGGGGGCAGGAGAACGCTCAGGCTGCAGGCAGGTGCCAACACAGGTATCTCTGGCTCTCTGTGCCTGATGAGTAAACAAATGGAGATGTCAAGGAAGCAGGCTCAAGCCAGACACCTTAGTTCTGCCTCAGGGATATCTACAGAACGGGAATGTAACGTGCGAGGTGGACCCAGGGAAGCTATGGGAGTGCAGCAGGTTTTGTGAGGAACCCCAGCACGATCTGCAGACCCGGAATGAAATGTCCTCCCTGATACTCCTTTGGGGGAGTGGGAGGGGAAGAGCCACTGTCCCACCTGGGAATCCGGAGGCGGAGAGAAGCAGGAGATGAGACAAAAAGACGCAGCCAGAGACAAGGAGAGGCCAAGTCAGAAAAAGGAATGAAACACAGATAGTGGAAGAGTCCAAGAAAAGTGTCAGACAGTGAGTCAGAGGGTGGGGGAGGGGCCCGCAGCAGCTACCCAGGAATCAAGATCCCGACTGACTGTGGCACTGTTCCCAGGGTGAGCACAGCCCCCCTCCTAGGGTCCTGGAGGAAGGAAAAGCAATTCCCAGGAGCTGGCTCAGGCAGAAACACCATACCCCCAGGAGCCCCGGAGACAGGCCCTGAATCAAAGAGAACCAGACTTCTTCCGGGATCTGCGGGGCCCTGAGAATCGGGACCCTGAGAATCAGGACACCTTCCTGCCACCAGGAGCTGACAGCCAGGACAAGGGGGACACACCTCCCTACCCTATGTGCCACAACCATTTCCACACTCAGGCCATACTACGTGAACCCAGGGAAGGCCACCTCATCCTGGGCACCAAGCCAACAAAAGCTATTTGGAGGTGGGGGGCAGGAAGGGGACACCTCAGGGCCTCTGGGAAGTCACACCAACTCCTCTGTGCACCTCAGCAGTCCTATCGCCCCAGCCTCCAGCCGGAGCTAGTACTGGGGAGGGGGTACCTTCAGCGCCTCCATCCAACTCCCAAGAATCTGAAGAATGTGTCCTTTCACCTCTGAGCCCCAGGCCTTGGCCAGGCTGGGTCAGTTTCCCCCAATACCTGGGGTCACATGACCCCAGGCCCTCAAGAACTACTTCCTGGGAAAAGGGGAGGGCACCTCAGAGCACCTTGGGCCCCCACTGGGATTGGCTGGAAAAACAGCCTAGGCAGCCCAGAGAGGGCAGACAGGAAGCCTTGGCACACCCCTCCCCCACCTCTCCCTCTGAAAGTGATCCCGGCGGGGAGGAGACAGTTCTTCAGCCTTGGCCTCCAGGGCCTGGCACTGGGTAGGTGCCAAGCGTTTGCTGGCTCCATGAGGCAATTGCTTCTGCAGCAGGGAGACTGCACCTGACAGCAACGGCTTCCTCCATCCAAGGGAGGCCTCCTTCACTCTCATTCATTCATTCATTCATTCAACAAGTGTTTATTGAGCTCCTATGACGTGCCAAGCACTATGCAGGCACTCGGGCATCCAGGGAGCAAGACATACACTAGTGCTGCCCCTTGAAGCTTTGAGTTTAGCGGGCAGGAGTGTAATTATAAAGTCTGCAAACCCTGCTGTGTGCTGCCATGAAGGGTCGAAGGGGTAAGGCAGGCGAGGTACAGCTGAGGGTGAAGACAGGTCAGTTCCAGCGAAGGGTGTGGGAAGAGTTCCAGAAAGGGGCACAGCAAGCAAGAGGGACTTGAGAGAGGGTCCGAGTGGGAAGGGGCAGGGGTGGCCTGAGGCAGGGTCTTCGCAGCCTGAGAGCACAGGAAGCCACAGCAGGGTGTAAGTAGGGAGTGACAAATACCAGATTTGCATTTTTAAAAGATGGCTCAGCACCAGGACAGGAGGGGGTGGGACTGGTTAAACCCTGCTGCCAGACTGAGAGATGACAGACAGGACAAGGGCACAGGAAAACGGGGAATGGCCTCGGTGACCTCAGGACATGGAACCCACGAGGGCAGTGATGTCACGGACTTGGGGGTGAAGTGATGAGTTCCCCTCCAGAGGGCTGAGACATCGGTGTGGAGGTGTCGAGTGGGCAGTGGAGCCGGGGAGGGACCCTCTGTGTCAGGAGTGTGGGTTAGTGTGTGACTGTGCCGGGGAGCAGGAGTGACTAACTGAGTGACGGGTTGCTGTGGAGTGGGCATCTCCATAGTGCACGTCTGTGGAAGGGCCCCCGGGGAGGGGAAACTGAGGACCGGGAGGAAGTACATGCTGGAAAGGGTAGCAGAAGTGCGTGGGAGAGAGCCTACGTGCGTCCGAGGGCGCCCGTGACTCACAGCTGTGGTCTCTGAGTGTGACGGCGACTGACAAACAGGTGAGCGTACAACACAATCCCTCCTCCTTCCCTCCTTCCCGGGGCGCGCGACTCACGGAGCCTCACTCCTGGCTCATCCCGCCTTGATCCCCGCCTCCCAGGGGGGCCGGGCACGCGCGGCGGCCCTGGTACCCGCCCCCAAGGGGGAGCCCGAGGATGAAGGCGACAAATGTCACCTGCTCCGGCCACGCGAGGAACTTCTGAAAAGTTCTCATGCAACTGGGTCAAAAGGAAACTCGTGCGTGGACACACGCACTCCGTCACCCCGCCACCAGCGTACAGCCCCTGCTCGGTCGCCATCCTCACCGGGGCTCGGGGCGCCGCGACTTCTTGGGGTGCCGGAGGCTGGGCGGGGGAGGGGAGCGGTAAACCTGCGCCTCTTGTCTCCCAGCCCCGGACCCCGGCTGTGGCGCGCAGGCACCGGCCCAGCTGGGGTGTCCTTGTCCCCGCGTCCGCTCAGGGTGGCGGGAAGGGCAAATGGCAGGGGCCAGAGGAGTAGTGTCACCTGCGCGGGACACCCCCTCCCCAAAGTCCCGTCCAGCGCAGCCCGGACTCTCTCAGCGCTTACCTGCGAGCCAGGCGCTCTCCAAGGACGCCGACACGACCCGCGTCCCGGCCAGGGACGCCCTCCACACCGCGACCCCGGGTCCGCTCGGCCGGCAGCAGTCGGCCCAGCCGCCCCTCGGCTCTGCGCGTCCGGCAGCGGCGGCGGCGGCGGGAGACTATCTGCGCAGCCCCGCCTGCCGCTCCGCCCTCGTCGTCAGTGGAAAACTCCGGGGCTGGTCGCGCTGACGCACGCCCGGCCGCCCGCCCG